TCTCCTCATCCCTCCCTACCTCCTCATCCCTGTCGGAGCTCCTCATCTCTGTCGATTCACAGAAACGTCAACTGCTGCCGGGGTTGACGCTGCTGTGGTTGTAGGGGGTTGGGGGTTTTTTTGTTGGGTACAGCAGCTGTGTTGTTGGTGGTGATAGGGTTTTTTTGTTGGGCACAGCAGCTGTGTTGTTGGGTATAGTACACTGCTATGTTGTCGACGGTGATAGGTCGGGCATGGATCTAGTGGCTACGACGAGGTGGAGGTGGTGTCGATGGTGCTGTGTAGATTTGATGTGGGTGTGGCTGATGGGTGGGTGGATTTGCTGTGGGTGTGGTTGTGAACGGGGCCTGTGGGGGATCTGCTATGGGTGTGGCTGTGGGAAGCTGTGTGGTGGTGCGGCGGCGATAGAATGTTGTTTTCTGTTATTATTATGGTGGTGGTTGTGGTTGTGGTGGTGTTGTGATGGGGTGACGATGGTGGTGCTGTTCAGGCGGCGACGGTTGTTGTTTGGGTGGTGGTGCTTGGTGGTGTTATTGTTGGTGGGTGTTTTGGGGATTAGAGTCGACGGCGAATAGGACGAAGTATATGTGACCAACTATTTGGTCGTTCTGTAATATGTAACAAAGTATTGTTGGTGTATTGGGATTGGGGGACGGATGGATCGAAGTGTCTGTGACCATCTATTTGGTTGATCTGTGACCTCGAAATAATTAGTGACCTCCAAATTTTTTGATCTGTGACTGATAAAAAAATTGTGATCTAAAAATTTTAGATCTGTGATCTCGAAATAATCTGTGACATATAAAATTTTTGATCTGTGACCGGAGAACTGTCGTCGAAGTGCTCACCGATCACAGGAGTAGTCGTCAAAAGGTAGGGTGGGTGGGGTGGGGTGGGTGGGTGGGCTAATTATATTTTATTACAGTTAAACATTTAATTTAATATAATAATTGTGAAATATAATTAATTAATTCATGAAAAGCTAGATTTTTACAATTCTAAATTTTGGAGTCTGATTTTTGGATAGATAAAGCGTGAGTTGTAAATTTTTCCCAGGTATTAATGCTTTGAAACTCGATCTGATTAGCAACTTCAAAAAGTTAATGGATCAAAGGTTACATAGTTAAAGTAGAAATTACACGGAGCCCTATCTTTAAAGAATGCATTTCAAAAAATCAGATTTATAGTTTATATATACAAAAATCAGATGACAATATAATATTTTAATATTAAGCCCTTGTTTGGGCACAATTCTCTGGTCGAAATAATTGCTTTGTTGACCGTTAATAGCAATGAGGG